CAAGGGCATGAAGGGAAGCACTGTGCTGCTTGGATTACTGAAGAAGCTATTGCCCAATTAGTGCCACGGCTGCCATGGACGCTGGCAGTTAACGAAAAGAGCAAATGAGAAAGCACAGCTTTAAGATGACAAAGCTCATTAGTGGAAGATCAATCCAAGGGCATGCTTGAACAACTGCCCAGTACTCCCAACATGTTAAGGGCCTCACACAGGTCTCTTCATTGAGCAAGGTTATTGCTAGGAGTTGGCAGAGGTGGCTTAAAAACCTATAGATTACATAATGTCATTTTTGGGGAGAAGTGCTGTTTTTAAGGGATGCTTTTAAAAAAATGTTTTAAGTCTATCCAAGACACAATCGTCCCAGCTCATTGTATAGTACAGCAATGGGGAACCTGGGACCTTTCAGAAGTTTCTTGATTACAACCCCCACCAGCCCCAGCCAGCATGGCCAACAGTCAAGGATGATGGGAGTTGTAGTCCAACATCACCTTGGAAGGCATCATGTTGGGTACATCATTTAGTATCCTGTATTTTGTCTGTATCTATAAATAATCTAAAATGTCAAGCATTCACACAACACAGGAAGCCAAGCTTTACAATCCCTGTGCTCCTAGTAGGATTACACTTGGTGCAATGAGTGTGTACATAGCTTCAGATGACATTGTGGGGGTTTCCAGTTCAGATTCAGTTGCTGTTCCAACTTTTATATTCTTTGCTGTAACTTGAAGTCACTGCTACTTGTCCCTTTTTCAGTGGCTTTGTGGGGGTTTCCAGTTCAGATTCAGTTGCTGTTCCAACTTTTATATTCTTTGCTGTAACTTGAAGTCACTGCTACTTGTCCCTTTTTCAGTGGCTTTGGTAAACCACTGTCTTCTGACTTCATAAGCACACGCTGCTGGTAAAACCAATATTGAAATTGTTCCAGGCATCTTGAAATCTCTCTGTTGAGAAAGGAAGGGCAGAAAGGGGAGGCGTTTGGAAAGAGAGGAAGCCGAAAACATAGGAAGTTGCTACCTGTAAAAGCTGTGTCAGCAAGCTGAGATCATGGGGCTTTCTCCTTGTTTAGAGTCATCATAGACCACAGCATATGAAGTCAAGTGTTTCCTACGGAAGTCCAACCAAGGTCCTCCACTTTCACAAGTGAAGCTTGAATTGCTGCATCTCATTGACAAGGTACCGCACAAAGGCTCCTGAGGAAGCTTTACAGTCATGGAATGAGAGGCGAAACCCTCTTATGGATCAGAAATTGGTTAAGTAGCAGGAAGCATATAGGAGGAGTCAATGGACAGTCCTCCAAATGGAGAGATGTAGAGAGTGGAGTCAATTAAACCAAGAAGAAAAGTTACAGCATTTGGGACTTTTTGGTTTACAAAAAAGTTAAGAGGTTGCACGATAAAATTCTGCAAGGCATAAAGGCACAAAGAAATCGGATAGAGAAACGTTTTTGTCTCTTTCTTTCATAACACTAGAACTCGTGGACATTCAATGAAGGAGAATGATGGCAGATTCTGGACCAATAAAAGAAAGTAATTACAGTGGTGCCTCGCAAGACGAAATTAATTCGTTCCGCAAGTTTTTTCTTCTTGCGAGTTTTTCGTCTTGCGAAGCACGGTTTCCCATAGGAAGGCATTGAAAATCAATCAATGCGTTCCTATGGAGACCGTCCGGGGACAGAGGGGAAGCGCCGCGTGCCGGAGATTGCGGGGCTGGCAACAGGGAGAAGCGATCTTCTCCCCGCCGCCCCTTGCTTCAAAAGAGGTCCGGGGACAGCGGGGAAGACGCGCTGTGCTTCCCCGCTATCCCCGGAGCTTGCGGGGCAAGCTTCGTTTTGCAAAGCAAGCCAATAGGGAAATGCGTCTTGCAAAGCGGCTAAGAAAACGAAAAACTCCTTCGTCTAGCGAGTTTTTCGTCTTCCGAGGCGTTCGTCTTGCGGGGTACCACTGTATTCACACAGCACTATGGAACTTGCTCCTACAAGATGCAGTGATGGCCACCAACTTCAGGGGCTGAAAAGATTAGACAAATTCATGGAGGACAAAGCTATCAATGGCTACCAGTCAAGATGTGTATATTTTGCCTCCCAGTTACAGGGAACCACAGGTGGGCAGCTTGCATACTTCCCACAGGCAACTGGTTGGCCACTGGAATAGCTGGGCCATTGGCCTGATCCAACAGGCTTGTCCTATGTTCTTATGTCCTACAGAGACAAATGGATAGGAAATGCATTTCCCACCCGACTGGTTGAAGAGCAGATATTTCAGTGATGCCCACTGGTTGCTTGGACATATTTACTAGATTTCTTACTTAGACCTCTTAAATCAATTCACTGAAGGAATTTTTCAAAGTGGTATGAGAAGTCTGAGGTGCTGTGCACTCTGGATCCACTCTGAGACAGTCAATGTGAAGAAAACTACGTGGTTGAAACAAAACCGGCAACTGGAAGTGTTGTTTATCTGCAACCGCCATTTAAGTTTTTTGTGTTTAGAAGTCATTTTATCATATTGTTTGGCAAGTGAAGCACCTATTCAAATTAGGCTGCAGACCTGCATTTAATTGAATGTAAATGTATATCACATTTTAGCACTGGAACTAGAAATGGTTGTTTTCTGTTCATAATTGCATATGGCGTAAAATTTACCATGTTCTTGGCATCGCTAACTTTTAATCATCTGCGATCTTAATTTATTATTGACAGGAAACATATCAAACCCATGTACAAAATGAAATGCAATTTATTTGTAATGCTCCCAAAATATTTAAACAGTTATAAAATGGGACAAGGGCAGGCTAACCCACCATGGGACTCGACTGAGTGCAGCTCCCCACAATTTATGGCAGTATTGCAGTTGCTCAATATTCCCAGAAAGGTAACAGCAAAACTAGATTTACTGAACTCTGGGTAGGCAGATAAACCATAGTTCCTGTACAGGAACTACTGGAACGTGTCCAGAGGAGGGCAACCAAAATGGTCAAAGGCCTGGAAACGATGCCTTATGAGGAACGGCTAAGGGAGCTGGGCATGTTTAGCCTGGAGAAGAGGAGGTTAAGGGGTGATATGATAGCCATGTTCAAATATATAAAAGGATGTCACATAGAGGAGGGAGAAAGGTTGTTTTCTGCTGCTCCAGAGAAGCGGACACGGAGCAATGGATCCAAACTACAAGAAAGAAGATTCCACCTAAACATTAGGAAGAACTTCCTGACAGTAAGAGCTGTTCGACAGTGGAATTTGCTGCCAAGGAGTGTGGTGGAGTCTCCTTCTTTGGAGGTCTTTAAGCAGAGGCTTGACAACCATATGTCAGGAGTGCTCTGATGGTGTTTCCTGCTTGGCAGGGGGTTGGACTCGATGGCCCTTGTGGTCTCTTCCAACTCTATGATTCTATGATTCTATGATTCTACAGTATTTGGTTGGTAGGTCATAAATTGTACAGATTGAGGGAACATCGGAAATAAGAAGGAGAGAGGCTGGGAATAAAGCCCTATTTATAATTGGTTTACATGTTATCACAATCCTAAACCGTTACAGAACTTCTCAGGGTTTATAGTATAATAAGAAACATGGGTAATGGACATAGAAAACGCTTATTAGCATAGCCAGAATCTAGAAGTTAAGTTCTCAGAGATATTTTCCTGAATTTAACTATCTCTGATGATTTTGAATGACACTCCCAAGCCTAATTTTCTCACATTTCTCACTCTTCACTGTGTTTTGCATTAATCCATCCACCAGAGGTAACAACCCCAATATTATTTACATACTAATTTACTCTGGGATGAAGATTATGTGAGTCAAGATTAGTCATTCAGATTGTCATTTGTTGCTGATTGTCTGCCTTGAAAGGGCAAAGCAATCAAAAGCTGAAGGGAATCCAGAGATTATTACCCAAGAAATCTAATCAAGTAAATTGGTCTTTGGTGGATCAAAGTGAGAAGCTCAAGAATGGTAGGCATCACTTTTATTTAATAGAGAGCTAATTGTGTGCAACCAGGACACAGTTATATTGAATTCCATTGATGATTGCTGAAGGAGCCATGATAAGCCCAGGCTTTTAGCTAAAGCATCAATAAACTACAGGCAGCAGTACAAATGTTGTTAAAATGGAAAAATATATACTTGTGTTAGCTTGGAATGAATTAAGTATTGGCCTTCGTTTCTCTCACATGCAACCACCTGCCCACAAGATAGTCTGCCCTTGTTGCTACATTCATTGTTGCTCACAATTTACCCATAGGACTCATTTAAAATATTGTCTCTCTGTCTCCAGATAATTACTACTTTGGGAGTCCATGTTACAAGGCAACAGCTACTATAAGCTAGTGGCAGAGTGAGCTGATAATTAATGCACGGGCATGTAGAAGCTATATAGAGAGCCGCATTGCCCAAGAGAGCAGTGATATTATAGCAGCCTTTTCCAGAATCGGGGCTGGTCCTAGCTTTTTCATTCACAGTGACACATCTCTGTGTGTATGAGGGAGGAACGGTGTCCAAACTTTTTTCCAAGAGGGCCAGATTTGATGAAGTGAAGGGCCGTGAGGGCCGACCAAGTGGCCAACCAAAGTTGTTAACCTTTTTTTAGGATTGAAGTTGTTGAGGTTTTTTTAGGATTTTACCCCAGAAAATTAACTGCCACAGGGGCCGAATTAAACCGATCGGCGGGCCAGATTAGGCCCCCGAAACGGACTTTGGGCATGCCTGCTAGACTATCCTTTCCATGTAGTGCATTTTCCACAAGACACATCAGGAAGCAAATGCACACATTTCATAGATGATGGTGCACACCTATCTCCTCTTTACTTGAAGTTGAACTCCATGGAAGAAAAGCCATGTCTGAGTTGTCTCTTAAGGGCCAAGATGCGGCTGAGTTCATTATTTTGTCCAATAAGCTGAGGCCTGCAGCACAGCTGCCATCATCCTGTGCTCAGCCAGAAACTAAAAGATGCTGCTGTTGACACTGAGGTATTTGCCTATTGTAAATATTTTCACTTCCTATATTTTTCAGACGTTAGAACTTGTACAACCCATGATGTGTCCCAGATCAATTGCCACCAGTGTGTCTCCTGAAAAGCATTTGACCTGCAAATCAACAATAATAATGGGGTCTAACATGTCATATGTGAAGCTTCCAGGTAAATGACTTTAAAAATAAATAAATCAGGAATTCCTGATACAGTTGTTTTAGAGAGGAGTTAATAATTTATACAGTTGTACCTCCTTTTTAGTATCACGTTGTTAGTTGAGTTTCACATAAGAGCAGTTCATTTAGAAGACTTCCCAAACACAACCATTGGTTATTTCCATTCCTGCTTAGCATTCTAATCAAGCTCATGAGGTCATTGTCTTTAAACCTCGGACCATCTAATAAACAGACTACCCCTGGTTCACACACACATCCATTCTTTAATAATCAAAATTCACAAGTACCCCTAATGAAGCTCCTCATTATCGATATATTTAAAAAAAGATAACCATACCTGTATATACACCGCAATCTAGTGAAGATAATCCTTGCTAGCATTCACATTCAGAAAACCACTATCCATGCAGTTCCACTTGCTACACAGATGCAGCCAGCATTTGGAGCTCTCAACACAGTTCCTGCTGCTGGGCTTGGAACGCATGGGCAGTGCCAAAGAGTAGAGACTGCCTGTGGTGTCAGGTTTGGGACAACCCTAGATTGAAGACTCCATATTCTCCTCCTCTTAAAAAAAAGCAAGCAAACAAATATAGCAGTGCTATCAATGCCGGTAGTGCAATGATCTGATTGGCAGGTATGTATGCAAGCAGATACTCACCTACAGCCTGCTACTGCATTCATGAGTCTAGAGACTGGCAATTAGGAATTTAATCAAGCACCTGGTGGTCCTCACTACATGATCAGCATGCCACAAAAATACCCTATGATTCACAGGACTTAGAAGCCTGATGCAGTCTAAACTGGTGGGCAAAGAGTTCCTAAAGCAAGGGAGGCTCTCTTGCAGCGTTGCACCACAAATGGCATAAAGAGCAGGACCCAAGGTTTGGCTAGGCAGGAGCGGGATGATCTGTGGTTCTCGTGTTGTCACAGATTTAGCACTACCCTGCACAATCTCTGAACTCGACTTGCAGCCTCATTGCTTCCAAACCTTCAATAAATGGAGAATTTACAGTTTCCTTAGGCAGCTCATTCTGCTGCTGAACTGGTCTTAAGAGTTATGAACACAGCATATATTTATGTTCCAGTCTTCCCCCCTCCCTTTCAATACCCTTTTGTGTCCTTGAATAAGACTCCGAGGGATCATCCCAACAAGCCTTTGCATGCAGACAGGATCTTAGTCACTGGCATCACTAAGCATACTTGTGCAGCTGGCTGCTGTTGGGAGTTTAAAACCATGCACGCCCTGCCACCTCATTGCTGGAGCTGTGGTCTGAAGCCCTTTTCTGTAGCGTGCAAACATAGCAGTGTAATAAAAACATTTTCTTGAAAGAGGAGGGCAACTCCCCTGGCTGTACCAGGTGTAGAACCTCACTCTGTTGACCTCCTAAGAACCACCCTGCTGAATCAGACCAAATATTTATGCATTCCAGCACTACATTTCCAGCAGAGCCCAACCAGGTGCTTCACAAGCGGAGACTAAAAGCAATAGCCACCTCTAGTTGTTAATCCCAAACAACTGCTATTCAGTAGCATAGTAGTCCATCGTGTCTAGTTGCACCCTTTCTACATGCTCCACAGTTACTCAAATGTGATAGATGAATGTGCATCCAGAAACAGTTTCTGGATTCCTTCTGTTCGCATAAACTATGGGGATGCGACTCTTGATTATGGGGGTAACTCTTGAGTTATTGTTGTTATAGGTCCGTATGAATAGCTACGATTGTTAAACCAACTTAGACCATTTCTTTCCATCATTCCCATAGATCATCATCAACATCTGGGTCAAGGCAACAGTATTTTAGCCAACTGTTCACAAGATCTACCTGGGAATTCTACCAGTAATGAATTCACAACCATTGTCTTACCTGTGCTTTACCTCGTCATATTCCTGGCTAGCCTCTTACTGAACAGCTTGGCTGTATGGATTTTCTTCCACATCAGAAACAAGACCAGCTTTATCTTTTACCTCAAAAACATTGTGGTTGCGGACTTGATGATGACCCTGACATTTCCATTTAAAATCATCCAGGACTCAAGGCTGGGGCCATGGTACTTCCATTTTTTCCTGTGCCGGTATTCGACCGTTTTGTTCTACGCCAACATGTACACTACGATTGTGTTCCTTGGGCTCATTAGCATCGATCGTTATCTGAAAGTGGTGAAACCCTTTGGGGATTCCAGGATGTACAGCATCAGGTTCACCAAGATTCTGTCTGCGTGTGTTTGGGTCGTCATGGCATTTTTAGCCTTGCCAAATGTGATCCTTACAAATGGTCATGCGACTAGGAAAAACGTAGGCGACTGCTTAAAGCTAAAGAGTTCCCTGGGAGTCAAATGGCACAGAGCTGTCATTTACATCAACAACGGCATGTTTGTCGTTGTACTGATAGTATTGATAGGATGTTACATTGAAATATCAAAGTATATCTACAAATCAAGCAAACAATTTACCAGTCCTTCAAGTCGCAAACGGAAGCACAACCAAAGCATAAGGGTGGTCGTAGCAGTGTTTTTCACGTGTTTCGTGCCATATCATTTGTGCAGAATACCTTTTATTTTTGGCCACCTAGATAAACTTTTGGATGAATCGGCACACAAAATCCTGTACTACTGCAAGGAAGTGACACTTTTCCTTTCTGCGTGCAACGTGTGCCTAGATCCAATCATCTACTTTTTCATGTGCAGATCATTTTCAAGAAGGATGTTTAGGAAATCAAACATGCGAACGAGGAGCGAAAGCATTAGATCGCTTCAGAGTGTTAGAAGATCAGAGGTGCGAATATATCATGAATACGTTGATCTGTGACGCTGAAGACAATGAGATGGACATTCCGTCCCATATTTGTGTCCATATATTTGTTATTTGTAAATAATAAAGTATTTTTGTTTGATTATAACAAATGTCCACTGTTTTTCATGTTGTTCTGCGCACAAGGGAGCCATGCAGAATATAGCAGAGTAACCAAGCCTTTGATTTACCGTAATCTAGGCTAGACTATTACAAATGTGGTACTGTGCCATCTAGTGGAGGAAAACATGCTTCTGTTACAATACTAGGAAGTTAAATATTCAGAATCAAAATTGCTTCTGAAACAATGCTGTCTGAATCACATCTGTTAAGTCGGTAAAGCTTGAGACTCTTAATCTCAGTGTTGTGGGTTACAGCCTCACATTGGGCAAAAGATTCCTGCATTGCAGAGGGTTGGACTAGATGATCCTTGCGGTCCTTTCCAACTACAGTTCTATTGATTCTATGACAATTATTATCAATAATCAACAAAAGGGTTCCAGAAAGAAAGAAAATACTTTAGAACATAATATTGTGTGTGTGTGTGTGTGTGTGTGTGTGTGTGTAATTGCAATATTTATTGTTTAATAACAAACCCTCAGAAACTACTTGAATTCACTCAGAAACTACTTGAATTCATGGGCGGTCATTGTTTTCTTCATAATATTATATGAGGAGCAACCAGTTTTCCCAGAATTTGTTTCTATATTTTCATGCAATTCTCACTCTTAGATAAGATGCTCCTTTTGCTATTATAGCCAAATCCCGAACATTATCAAGCCATTCTTTCCAAGAAAGGAGTAATGTAACTTGCCAGTATTGAGTCATTAACATTCTTGCAGCTGTTAACAGATAGAATGTAGGTTACTTATGTTCTTCTTTATGATATAGACCAGCAACATAAACAATGGATTCATTGTTAAACAAATGGGAGCCAAAAATCATTGCCAATCTACTTCATATCACCCAGAGATCTATTAGCGGATCCTCTTCTATCTTCTGCCCATTCCTGCACTACAGTAAACATGTTTCTACAGAAGAGATGTGACGGTGATCCATTTTTAATTTATAGCTGCCAACCTTTCCCTTTTTTAAAGCGAAATTCCCTTATTCCAAATAGGATTCCTCGCAAGAAAAGGGAAAAGTTGACAGCTATGTTTAATTGCCTCACTTTCTTTCTGAAGGAAAAACCTATAATTAAATCCATACAGTATTTGGATGATGCATTCTCCTTAATCTTATTTATAGTATGTTTTGACTGAGGAGTATTAATAACTATCACAGTCTAATGTGATAGTATCGAATGCAATAGATTAGCACATGGAATTCTGGGTGCTGCCAAACATGATCAATTTAAAATTAAACCTCATGTACTGTAGTTATGTTGCACAACCAGAAGGTGGCAAGAAACTATTGTTGATTCATGCTGATTCATTTTAATACATTCCAACTATGTTTCCCCTTACTTGCCTTTCTTTCTAATTTTTTTTGAGATGTAGCTTCTAGAACTGAAGACAGTACTCCAAGTGGGATTGCACCATAGATTTGTAAAAAGAAGCAAGTACCTGTTTCTTTAAAAAAAAATCATTTTCTGGTTATCCCTAACATGATATGTGCATGTTTCACAGCTGCTGTGCACTGGTCATTGTGGTGTGCGAGAGTCTGTGGCTATGTATAGTTCTGTGTGTAACCATAGACTTATCAGTTGATGTCCTTCCCCAATCTGGTGGCCCCCAGGTGTTGTTGAACAGGTCTTTGAGGCAACCCATTTACTGAGCATTCATCCTGAATTGCTTGTGTGGAGGTCAGACGATGTCTGCTCCTTATACAACATTCTGATTTGACAGGGGAAGCAGAGTGACAGCTGATAAAATCAGTAGCCTCCTATTCCTTTCCCCACGGCAAAGTCTAGCGATGCAAAATTAATGTGACAACCCTGTACTGCTAGTTTTCCCACTGCACATCATTGCCTGGCAGGCCAGGGAAACTCTGAGCACTGTCAGTGTCACATAATGCAATATGGGATTACTGGGCACTGTGGGAGAAGGGAGAGAGGCTGTAGCTTTTGCTAGAAGCTACATGAGTCTTGTATGTTCTAGTTCCAATACTATGTATATAAGAGGGAAACTGCTCTCCCTGAGGAGCTTACATTAGGGTTACCAGGCATCCCAGGTTCCCGGGGACAGTCCCCAGATTTGCAAATCTGTTCCCGGACAAATTCCATCCCCGGAATGTCCCCAGATTTGCAAATCTTTGCTCCGGGAAACGTGGCAGCGGCAGCCTCAGCAGCCCAGAGCCAGCCTGTTAACGCCATTTTTCCTGCGCCGCGGCAGCCAGCCACTCCTGAAGCCAGCCAGAGCCAACTGCACTACCAGGCTGGCCCCTCCTGGGCAACGACTGCCCACCCGTGACTCCCAAGCCCTGCTCCCCTGATCTGTCAAAACAAAGGGGGAAGGGGGAAGGAGATTGGGGAAGGCTCAGGAGTCATGGGAGGGCGGCGCACTGTTGCCCAGTTTTTAAAAAAACTCTGCGCATTTATGTTTCACAGGGTGCGAAAGAAGGGCTTTACACCCTTCATGCATATGCATGTGTGCTTGGGCCCGGGGTCTTTTGCTTCACCATCCCCACTACTGACTCCCTGTTGCTACTCAGCTACAAAAAAAAGTGTCCCCGGATTCATTGAAAAAAATCTGGTAACCATAACTTACATGCTTTTGACAGCATAGGGCAGCCTACCCTAACCTGGTGCCCTCTGGACCGCAAATCCCATAAGCTTCAGCCAGCAGTCATAACAAGGGTGAATAAAAACATTGCCAGCAATGCTGACAAGGCTTGTGTCAGTTGTGGATAAAGACGGGTTTTGCATATCAAGATTATGCTTCAGTCACGGATAAGAATAATGGTATCTTGGGAAATGTTGTTTATGCAGCAGCACCACACCTTGCATTTGGTTATGTGGGCTTCTCTGGAAAATAATCATCACTAGTCTGCAGGGAACAATGGGTTCATGCAGCTGCCTTAAATTGGTTAGCCCACTGGACTTGAATTGTATGCCAATGGTTGGGAAAGCTCTCTCTTCTCCTTCAGAGTTCTTGAGCCTTCTCCAGTACGCCTTATGAAATGCATTGTGTGTGGAGGGTAAAATAAACTGTATCAGATCAGAAAAGTGCTGAGTTTAGTCCACAGTCGGAATCTGATTGTGTACAGAATAAAAACTTTCTTCAAAAAAAGAGAGACTTTGATCCAATAGTTCCAGGTAAAAAGCAGACCAGAACAAAACAGCACAGGATCATAAGTCTCATAAGTCTTAACAAAATAGGAAACATCTTCCTTTTCCCTAAGAATAGGGAAGGCACACTTAGAAAGTCAATACAAGTACTCCCTCTTTTTTGCCATTCAGAGTTTGTTCAGGTCATACGCCACCATGGCTTCCTCAAAGTTCAAGTGGGTAGATCAGCAGTGAAATACCCAAGCAACTTCCCTTTTGTAAACTTAAGAAATCACAGCATGTGATTTTTTTTCTCAGCTCATAGGATAGAGAGCAGGTGATTCTTGCAAAAGCTGGTTGTTCACACATGTAAACAGCTGGTGTGAGAAATATATTTATGTGGAGGCAGTGGCTATTTTGTGTCCTTAGAACATCTCTCAGAATCCAAAAGCAGAACTACGTAAATGATTCAAAGAAGCAAAGAATTATGATAGTTGAATTTCCAATAGTTGTATTTTATACCCTATTTCTGATAGTGTGTTTTTCAACGCCCTAGAAAACATTTTTTTAAAAGGTCATTATAAAGATGCCAGCAATCACAACTTATCAGAAACGCAAGTTCTTTCCCATACTGTCCAAAGTGGCTCACAACAGATGGTGGTTTTCCCCATTGACTACAAGAACGGGTATAGTTGAAGAGGAATCAAACTGCTCTCCCTAGAAATTCTCATTTGAAGGTTTACTATCTTGTGCCAATTGTGATCTCATTCTTGTCTTTAAAAAGAATGCCGAGTTACTTCCAATTTCATACGTAAGGAAAGCACTCTGTTATTAAGGCCATGACCTCTTCTCCAAGTACCGTATGAATGAGTCAGGAATTGAGCACAAGTTCCCTTGCACGGCTACAAAACCACCAGTCATTGCATTATACTAAAAGGAAGCTGGAGTGCAGCAAACCCATTTGTCCATGGCAGGGCCTTCTCAGGGGTGGTCCCGTTTGTGGAATGCCCTTCCTGGTTAGGGTGCCCGTCTCCCTCACTACTGAATTCCAGGACAGATTTAGAATCATTCCTGTTTACCCAGGCAATTGATGGGTGATAGACACTGGCCGTGGCAAACACGGAATTAATAATTATGGAGGTACGTGACTGTTTTTTAATGTTTTCAGAAGCTGTGAGTGTTTAAATGTTTTAGGTTGTTTTGAAATGTTTAAATTATGTTTTACTGGACTGCTTTCACATTTTGATGTTTGCTACTCTTGGTTCCTTCGGGAGGAAGGGTGGGATAGAAACCCAGTAAGAATAATCATCTGGGTGATGGTAGCCTGTGGCCCTCCATATGTTGTTGGACTCCAACGCTCATTAGCCAGCATGACCAATGGTCAGGAATGATGGGAGTCATAGTTCAGCAACCCAGAGCAGAATTGCACTGAACAGTTTCCAGAGATAAATGAACAGCATCTCCCAGAGCAGTGAAGCCAACTCTTTTTAACTGTTCTATAGAATGCTTCTAAGAGAGGGGCAAAAAAATCTACAGGGGCTATATGCTAGCAAGTAGGATTTCAGCTTTCACAACATTTCCTCTTTTTTGCCAAGGTCTGCAGTTTGTCACTTAAATAGTTCAGAGCTGCCCTTCGTGGAAGTATAGGAGAGCTGGCCAGCTGCAGCATTTGACACTTAACCCATACTTGGCACCAACAAGAAACATTACTAACAATGGCTTTTTTCAAGCCCAATTTTGGAGTTCAAGAAGTTCCAGTGTTTTTAAACCAGGCAGGGCAGGAATAGCAAGGGAGCATTATTCCTGCTTGAATTCGGAAACATATTTTTTAGTTACTTAATAGCTTGAAAGGATACCGGACTCTCCAAATTGGTAAGTAAATGCAACTGAAGCATTCTAATAAGCATAAGCTTGTTTTTTAAAGACTCCTTCATATGGAAACGCTTAATCCTAATGCAAGTCATTTTCTCAGCTTAAAAATTGGAAGCAGAAAGCCAATAAAACTTTTTATAAAGTGTGCGGCTTCTAGTAATGAAATGTATTGTTCCGTCACATCCTCCAATACTTCACAGATGAATAACAGGGGACTATTCAGTACTTATAATAGCTTATTCTGTTTACTAAGGTTCACCTAACTTACATAGGGCTGAAGACGCTTCTCTGCATGCTGTACTTATTTCACCCTGTATTAACTAGCACCACATGAGCTTCTGGGGAAGTTAGAAAAAGCTTCTTTTATTATTATGTCAATTTATTCTGTGTTTTGGGGTTCTCAAATGATTTAAAGTTTTTAAATTTAAGGATTTTTCAAAAAGAATTTGAAAAGTTAATCTGGTTGCATTTTGATACAGAATAGCTGTAGCTCCAACACATTCAGGATACTTTGCTGTTTGGGTAGGCAGTTATAATGTGAATGTAAAAATAATGTGTGCTTTTTAAAGATATCTTCAAAAGGAGAGACCAGAATACAGTTACCATACCTCATAAATAAGGGCAATGGCAGAATGTTTACAAATAAGAATATGTTTCAGTTATACATGTTGCAAAAAATAATAATCCTGTTCTGTTTCTTTTCTGAAAATCCATTATCAATTCATTTCCCATGAGCTGAAAGTAAGAATACAGCAATGGGTTGAATCCCACAGCCTGCTCTCACTAGTCCTAGTTTTCCTGGATTAAGTTACACTCAGGACATTACCTACTGGCAGAAAGGGGGTGGGATTTTGCTGATGTCTGCCTCTCCCAGCAGCCCCTGGCCACCTTTCCCATGCTATTCTGGAGGGTGTGCCAACCCTCAAAAGCCCATTTTCAAGGGGTTGCAGAGACAGAAGGAATTGATGTAAATCTCCTCCTGAAGGAGTCCAAATAAAGGATATAAATCATGGGTCCAACCCTATGTTTGCTAGGCTGGAAAGCAGAAAGGCAGACAAAAAAGGGAGCAAAAGGAACCTCAAGCAAATAAACTCAGGGATTTTTCTGTCTTGCTATAGCTCCTTTATGAAGGGCAGGCACCTTATTTTGTACTGAGAACCATACTGGAAATGCTTCCCATTGCGTTTTCAAATCAATTCTTACCACCTTGAGGGCTGTGTAATTGGCAATGTTGATTTTGCAGTTTAAAATCAATGGACAGGGTTATCAAGTTCTAGTAAGAGTCTAGCAATGTCTGCAGTAGAGGGCCCTGTGCAGCAGAACCCTGCCTTTCAGTAAAAGCTGGAATAGAGGTTATATACAATTGCTAAAGTTAACCCCACTGAAGCACTTAATTTACCCCTTTTGAAATCAACAGGATCCAATAGTGCTTATTTTTTGGGAGAGCTGTACCAACAGAACCAAGAACTGTATATTCAACCAGGGTTCTCAAATTGGGGAGATCGCATGGCACTTACAAGGGAGGGAGGGAAACATACATTTGCAGTAAAAGTCTTCATACTATAAATTTAGTGTATCTCAAGGTATTTTAACTTTCCCAGCCATGTCAAATAAGAGGAAATACTATCTTTTTCTCACATTTAAGATCCCAGTTTTTACCTGACAGCTAAATTTTTACCCCTCTTATTCATACAGACCTACCCAAGAATGGCAGACTCCGTGTGTTCCTTAGAACGGAAAGCCTCCCCAGTCAACTGAATATAAAAGACAACATACAAGATCCAAGAAAATAAGGTAAGCAAGGCTATTTCAGCAACGCTGAAGATTTCACTCTGCAGTTCCAGGTTTGGTGGTCCCTCCAGGAAAGCAATTTACACTCACTCCAGCAAGAATTCCTTTTATAATCTCTTACACAAGGGGTAGTTAATGTTGCGTGGCAAGGTCCCAAACCCTCCCAGGAAGTGGAATAAAGACACATAAAACAGTATTTTAGGTTAATGGGCGAAAAAGGCCACAACTTTATTGGTTACAGAATGTGAGTGGTATTGGTTTGGCTATATCTGACTCCTGCCTGTCTGCAGGAGTCTTGGAAGGGTTAACCACCAGAAGGGGGAGCCCTGCTGATGCATATCAACTAGGAACTTCCCCAGGATCACTGCTAGGGGTTGTGCCATGGCCATAGCCCCCCCCCCCCGGTCTGGGGCTTCGGACAGAGGCCATGCCCCTCGGATTTCTTTAATGGAGTACCCTTGAAATAGGAGGGATAGGTGATGGCCACTACCTCCCCTCACCTTCAACCTAATACTCCAATGCCTAACCGCCTAACCTTACAAAGTTGTGATGAATTGCTACAAGGTAGGCGAAAAACCAAATGGCCAGTGCCAATTTGCCAAGTGGAAAAAATTCCTACCAAGCCCCTGTTTAAAAACAGGCGATCAACCGAAGTCCATAGCAAGGTCGGGAGATAAAGAGCCTAACCTAAGGGAGGGGGGGAGAGAACTGTCCAAGCAGGAAGAAAAGGAACATGTCCTCTGCTGTGGGCAGTTTAAATAGCCCGCGCCACACCCCCAGAGCATCCGGATTGGACAGCCTTGGGCTGACGCAGCCGAGGACCAACCAATGGCGCAGGGGCTATCCTGCCCCATGTGCGTGGGGAGGGCTTGCTCCCAGCCCACAACGTCATCTCCCTGGGGATGGGAAATGGCTTTGCTGGACTACAGCTCCCATAATCCCTGAACAGTGGACATGCTAGCCAAAGCTGATGGAAGTTGTAACATCTGGGAGGCTGTCACCTTAGCTAGCCCTCTCATGGTATCTTATTGCTCATTTCCGAGCACAGTTCAAAGTGCTGGTGCCAACCTTTAAAGACCTAAATAGGTAAACCTGAAGGAGCGTCTCCACCCCCATCGTTCAACCCGGACACTGAGGTCCAGCTCCAAGAACCTTCTGGCGGTTCCCTCACTGTGATAAGTGAGGTTACAGGGAACCAGGCAGAAGGCCTTCTCAGTAGTGGCACTCACCCTGTGGAGTGTCCTCCCATCAGATGTCGAGGAAATAAATAACTATCTGACTTTTAGAAGACATCTGAAGGCAACCCTGTATAAGCAAGTTTTTAATGTCTGATGTTTTCTTGTGTTTTTAATATTGTTTGGAGCTGCCCAGAATGGCTGGGGAAACCCAGCCAGATGGGCAGGGTATAAAAAATAAATTATAGTCTTATTATTATCATCATTTGCCATCTGCTGGTAGAAGAGGTGACGGTTTGGTCTTGCATTGGACCCATGGTCCAATTTAGTACACCCATCAAACATTCGCCAACAGCTGCTCAGCTTCACTGGTTATGTTATTCTGTGTGTTCTCTTATCCCTCCCTTATACAGCAATAGTACTCAAACTTCTTCATAGTAGCAAATATCAAGACAATATTCATGCTTAGGCTCCCAAAAAACGCCCAGAAAGTTTGCACCTGTGGATGTGAAACCTACACTGGCTGCAAAGTACATTATATTTCAGCATACTGAACAAACAAACATTGCTCTGTGCATTTTTGCCTCTGGTCGTACCCACAGCAGGCAAATGCCACCCCTGGAAAGTTCCCAAGAATGGCTGAAAAAGGCTCCCTATTCCTGCTCTTGCGGAAACATATTTGATTTAGCTCCATGCAAAAATGTTCCTGAATGTGGTCTTCATGTGCCATATAGGAAGATACATGGGGGGATTCTGCTGCAGGTGATTCTTCTTGTGGATAACTCTTACTTTCTCTGCTCACAGGAACTGAAAATGCACTAGAGATGCCTAATTCAAGCACTCCTCTAGGAAACTCCTGCAGCTTCAATGAGATAATAAGAAAACAAGTTCTTCCAGTTGCCTATGGTCTGATCTTTCTAGGAGGAATCCTGTTGAATGGGGTGGCAGCCTGGGTCTTTCTGTACATTCCCAGCAAGACAAGTTTTATCGTCTATCTCAAGAACATTGTGGTTGCTGACCTCATCATGAGCTTAACTTTCCCATTTAAAGTTTTCGCCGATTCAGAAATTGGATCTTGGCGGCTCAGTGTTTTCGTCTGCCGTTTTTCAGCAGTCATATTTTACCTAAATATGTATATCAGCATAACACTGTTTGGTCTCATAGGCTTCGACCGATGCTACAAAGTTGTGAAGCCTCAGTTTATCACATCTTTCCATACTGTTCGATGTAGCAGATGTATCTGTGTAGCCGTGTGGGCACTTCATATAGTGATATCACTTCCCAATACAATTTTAACCAATCAACATCCTACCAAAAATCTTTCGAAGAACTGTGTGAACCTCAAAAATGAACTTGGAGTCCAATGGCACAAGGCTTCGAACTACATCTGCTTAGGAATTTTTTGGGCTGTCTTTTTACTCCTAATAGCCTTTTACAGTTCTATAGCAAGGAAAATATATCTATCCCACCAAAAATTCAGGAAAAACTCCAAACGGTCAAGGAAAAAAACCAATCGGAATATTTTCACCATCATGCTTGTATTTATCATTTGCTTTGTTCCATACCATGTTGTAAGAATCCCATACACATTGAGTCAAACTGCTTCACATCATTATAACTGCCTAACAAAAGAGGTGTTGTTTTACCTAAAGGAGCTTTCTCTGCTCCTGTGTGCTGCAAATGTTTGCCTTGATCCTATTATTTATGTATTTCTTTGCCAACCCTTCAAGGAAAGGTTGTACCAGAAATTGCACCTCAAGTTGAAGGTGTCTGAGGAATTAGAAAACTCTAGATCTAAAAAGTCAAATGTGATTTGTGAAACAGTAGTTATTCCATAAATTCCAACCAAGCGTCTGGAAACCAAGCCTTATCAGGAACAGTTGAGAGAACTGGGTATGTTTAGCCTGGAAAAGAGGAGACTGAGAAGAGCTATGAAAGCCATCTTCAAATATCTCAAGGACTGTCACATAGAAGAGGGGGGGAACTTGTTTTATCCTGCTCTGGAGGGTAGGACTCAAAACAATGGCTTCAAGTTACAAGAAAGAAGATTCCGACTAAACATCAGAAAGAACTTTCTGACATTAAGAGCATAGTGGAATAGACTCCGCTGGAAGGTGGTGGACTTTGCCTAATCGCAGGTTTTTAAGCAGAGGTTGGATGGCCATCTGACATGGATACTTTAGTTGTCTGCGTTGCAGAAGGTTGGGCAAGTGGACCATCAGAATGCATGCCAACTCTACAATTCTTTGATTCTATGAGAGCAAGCTATTTCCAATATGCTAAGATGGACCCAATGGGAGGCTGGTCCTTGAGTGCAAATGGGGCACTGCCTCACCAAGCTGAGCCTGCCCTTAGCTAGCCCTCACTTCACTGCCTGCTTTCTTGCAACCAGTAAGGAGGTGACTCTGACTGTCTCACACCTCAACTGACGCTAAACAATATGGGCAGCTGTAGCTGACTTAAAAGACAACTGTATCACTATCGTGAATGAACTGATTGTTTCACTTGGCTCCTTGGTTTTTTATTAATATATTTGTATGCAAAAGTCATACAAACATGAGTGCTATGTGCATTTTGTGCTTGAATTTGTATAAAAATAAAATAATGTGGATTTCAGCAATGGCTATTTAATATCTATCATCTATCTATCATCTATCTAATTTTATAAATGCTGTATTGCTAGAAAGAATCCCTTATCGGAAGAGTTATACAGTGGTACCTTGGTTCTCAAACTTAATCCGTTCCGGAAGTCCGTTTCAAAACCAAAGCGTTCCAAAACCAAGGCACGCTTTCCCATAGAAAGTAATGCAAAACGAATTAATGCGTTCCAGACTTTTAAAAACAACCCCTAAAAAAGCAATTTAACATGAATTTTACTATCTAAGGATGATAAAAATTAAAATTATTTTTTTTCTTACCTGCACTGATGATAGTCATTGTTTGGATTGGGGGTGGGGGCTCTTATCTATTTCCACAGTCACACAATCAATCAATCAATCAATCAGTAGCTGAACTGGGTTCCACACAGTCACAAAAACAAATTAATTGAAAAAGCCTCAAAAACAAAAAATAAATAGCAAAAACAAAAGCGCCAAAGTTAATCAGTTCTGGAAGTCCATTTTACTTCCGAAATGTTCAAAAACCAAGGCGCAGCTTCTGATTGGTGCAGGTGCCCTGGAAACAATAGCCGACAGCTGCATTGGACGTTCGGCTTCTGAAAAATGTTTGAAAACAGGAACACTTACTTCTGGGTTTTCAGAGTTTGAGAACCAAAGTGTCTGAGTACCAAGGCATTTGAGAACCAAGGTACAACTGTATTCTTGAATTTCTCCAGTGAAAATCTTCATCCCTTCTCTTTTGCAAACACAGCCTCTTCAACTAAAACAGTACTCTCATAACTTTAACCCAACAATAGCATCAGGCATCCCAGTGGCAATCTACATTAAGTCAATGGGGGGGGGGGTAATTTCCTATCAACAGTTCCCAGGTGTATTGTATTAATATTAGTTCAGAGATCTGCTTTCCCTCACTGGTGCACGCTCTTGGCAATGGTGATATTTGCTCCCTTCTCGACAGAAGGAGGGAACAACAGGAAACAATGCCAATTGGAGTATATAGGCTGATCAGTGGTTTGGGAGGACATGGCTTCTCAAACAAAAGCTGCAGGTATGGTTCAAGTCTGACTCAGCACAGCAAAAGGTTGCAACTCTCTTGTCAGTTCCGCAACTGAGAGCTAGTCAGATGCTTTGAGGCCTTCTGTAATACACAACTCTGGTGCTCCGAGTTGAGTAGGCCATGAGAACAGTTCCCCCTTATTAGATGCCACAATATGGTGTTGGAAACTGTTCCTTTTGAACTGGAGAAACCTCTGTAGCATTAGGGAGCTAGATTTGATGGAAATGAGATTATTTGGGGGATGGAAGTCTTGTTCCTTCTAGCAAGATTTGAGATTGTTGCATTGTTGGAAGCAGTCCCGATTTTCTTCTGCTTCTCAGTTCCTGTTTAATGTTTCATTGTTCGCAATCACATCAGATGCCTCCAAAAATGTAAGGGTGCCATGCTCAGCACTCATTTCCTCAGCTCCAATGAACCAAAGTTCCTCAAGTTTGCTCCACCACTACCCATGATTGCTGAATTGAACATCCGTAGTCTCAGGCTGTATACCTATAAATACTAAATGATAGCGACAAGCATGAGAATGCTGTTGCCTCATGCCCTGTTCATAAGCTTCCCTCAGGATCCTGTTAGAAAGAATTACAAACTAGAGGGATATGAGGGTCACACCCAAGGCTTCACAATAAATTTGAAGATAGAATATTAAGTATTTCAGGGACTGTATCACTATCTGGAATGTCTAAGTTTAAAATTTATTTTGTTTGATATGATTTTGTTTATTTGGGGGGTTTTAAAACTTTCTTTTCATTGGATCCAACGAAGAAAGCTGAGAATACCGGGGTCCTTTTTGCATAGAAAACATATTTATGTGAGGTCCTTTTCATTCATTCGGTGGTTGTCTACTGAACACAGGACACAAACCTGCTTCTGGATTCATGAGCATGGGGGGGGTGAATTTAAGAAGCCACAGTCTTTTTAATAATATATTTTTATCAGTAGTTTTTATAAGACAACAACAACAAACATAGTCTGTAGTTATTGCAAACAATTGCCATGAATGCTTCTCAGAATAAAGCCATTTCAGAGTTGATGGCACTATTATTAAATCTATGTAATTGTATCACTCCGAATTAAGTTCCGAGAAACAGATAGGTGCATCTCTCTGTTGCAACAATTAACATAAGCAACAACAACAACAAAACGGTAGCCGCACTGTAGCTGGTACTAAAGGAATTCCTTAACACAGACAGACAGGAACGTTATGAAATGATCCCGATATAGTTCAAGTTCCAATGCTTTCAATGGAAGAATTCAACCTACGCTAAAATCTCTTGAGATTAGCAAAAGTCAATTCAATGTTTTGTTTTGTTTTTGCCTGTTTGTCTAAATTATGCTTTTATAACGATGTTTTATTTATTTTAGTCATAACATTGTAATTCCGTTGCTCCAGAAGCGGTTTAGTCACGCTGGCCACATGACCCGGAAAGCTGTCTGTGGACAAATGCTGGCTCCCTCGGCCTGAAAGTGAAATGAACGCCACACCCCATAGTTCCCTTTGACTGGATTTAACCATCCATGGGTCCTTTACCTCTACCTTTAATACCAGTTAATTTAATTTAAAACTTGCTGCAATTTGCTGGACTGTGCACCCCCTAGATAGTATCAGTGAAGGACTGCTCTAATTAAAACCTTTAAAATTACATACATATTTATCCTCTGCTGAACCTCACACTCCAGTTTGCTCTCTGAGAAAGCAAGGTGCATTATTCTGCTACTATCTCAACTGTTCTGGCATTCCACTGGCAAAAATTAAAAGGATAAGGGTCTCAAGTCATTACAGCAACTTTGCTTTCCCACCCAATCACAAGAGGAGGATGAAGTATTATTTTGCAACACTGAATAATTTTGAACTCTTAAGGGTGTGCGTACACGCACACACCTTCAGATGGCTTTTGGTTTCATAGACGTCAACTGATGTGTTTGAAAGCCACAGGAAAATCTCTTTTAAGATACGAACCATATAAAGAGCAAAAGGAAAAGTAGCTGGCCACAAGGCAAAAAGCAGGTCACCTGACAATACTAAACAGGACATTTAACAAACTTCTTCAATGCTTTTTGGACTCTAAAACAGGTATGTACCTTTTAAAATACTTTACCCAGTCATTATTATCACTGACACAAATACAAAACACAGGCTATGTAAACTGTTAGTGTTTGCAATTATGGACAAACTCAGTATAGATACTCCATGCTGAAACTTCATAGTCACAAAAATTGCAACGACTTTTTCTGTTGAAGGAGTTGACAGAATCAAGCATTCGCTATCTCAGGACCACAGTGCAATTTCCTTTGTAATTGATTCAAAGTGACTGTCATTTCTCAGAAGGAAGATTATGATATTTAAACTCAGTGGAAGAACACCTCTGTTTTATATGCAGAAGGTCCCTGGTTCAAACCTCGCCGTCTCCAGGAATGGCTGGGAGAGAACCCGTTCTTAAACCCTTGAGATCTGCTGCTATAGACTATGCTGAGCTAGGAGGACCAGTGATTTGACTCTGTATAAGGCAGCTTTCTGCATTCCTATGCGTTTCATCCCTTCATAGCGGTTGCTCCCAATCTCTCTCGGATCTTTCTAGCACTGTGTTCTGGTTAAATTCTTTAGACTCCCAAGATTTAAAAGGAATCATCTGTGTAAGCTACTAATAAAATGGACGTAGGATATACCAAAGTTGACCGACGGCATAATTCCACATGGTGTTGATAGTATGCAGAGACCCAGACCTGCTTGGCTTGAGCAATGTGCCTTCAGACCTTGGGAAAAGACCTTGACTTTCCACACTTATCAACCCTCAGGCACCACATATCCCTTGCCGACTGGGAACTTGGCAGATTAGCAGTCTGATCCACATGGTCAGTTAACTGCACACATTACAGGCGTATTTTAACACTTGCCACACCACTGTCATAACACACGACACCAGCTTAAGAGTGCAATGCTGAATTGTACTCAACCTGACCAGGCTCCCTTGCTGACTATTAGTAAATAGCTGCTGGCATGCACCTAATGACCTGATGAGAAGCCCACCAGATTTCAAGATTTCAGGCATTCTGTAAGCAAACAAAAGCCGCCTTATTCCAACAAGCCCTTGGTTACTTTGATTTGGCTGATAACAGATTTTGTTTTAGTAGTGCTATAGTTACTTGCTGCTACTGCTGTTGATTAGCTTGATTCTGAGGTTTTAATTCTGCCACTGATGTCTGTTTGATTTTTGCCTAGTTTATGTTGTTAGCTACCTTGTGCCCCTGTG